TCAACTTTAAGTATTTTTAAACTCAAAAACACGGCGGGCCGGGGGGTGAACGACTGCCCCAAAACACAACCACCGGGCTTAGCACGTTTTCTGGGGGAAACCCTACACTCTGTTAGAAAACAGTTTTCTTTTTCCTAAAACCTTTTTTTTTTGGATGAAAAATATTGACAGAAATGAACTGATAATGTCACAAAAATGTAATCAATTTAGTCAGAAAATTGGATATCTCTAAATCAAATTAGAATAAAAACCTGACCTGATTGAGAAAAAAATGGACGTCATTTTTGGATTCAGCGGTGCAAAATAGTTCTAATTCAGTTGAAAAAACTCCCCCATAAACTTCCAAAGGATATTTTTTGTAATCCAGTGTTATTTATCACAACAAATTAAACCCAAATAGGTTGAAGTGAGCAATAATTACCTTCTGATGAGTGGTGCCCCACTTGTGACAGGGGCAGGGTGAAAACAGAGTGTGTTTGTGTCATCTGGGTGCGCCCCATGGCCGTGTGCTCCACCAGCTTTTGGCCGTCTGGCTTCAGGGAGGCGGGGTACACGGGCTGCCTGTTGCCGTGCGCCGCCTGCGCTTGCTGTAGTGGAAATTGGCAGAGTCGGCCCGTGAAGCCAGGCGGGCAGAGGCAGTGGTTCCTGGAACTGCACACTCCTCCATTCATGCACGTCAGAGGACACACGACTGCAGGGAGAAAGAGAAGGACATGTAAAAATCAACGCAGGCATAGGTTAGCACAGTGGTTCCCAAACTTTTTCTTCTGCGCCCCCCCCAGTGGTTTCCAAACATTTTCTGCGCCCCCTGTACATAGCTGAAAATAGACACCAACATCGGTAGCCTACAAGGTACTTGTTAAGCTTAAGGTTCTGTATTGATGTTAGCTAGTCATCTTTTAGCTAACATTACCTTTAGCTAACTAGGTAAAGTTAGCTAAAGTCATCTTTTAGCTAACATTACCTTTAGCTAACTAGGTAAAGTTAGCCAAAGTCATCTTTTAGCTAACATTACCTGCATCCAGCAGCTCTACTCAACTCAGTCGGTTAGTTTGGAGGGAAAAACTGAAAAGTTCTTTGCGTTTTGCTGGTTTGCTGCCGTGATTCTAACACAAACCTACGTAGCTCCGCCCAGCAGCAGCAGGTCTCCTTCACAGGTGTAAACCCAGCGTAGCGCTCATGTTGCGTTTAAAGGCGGCTCGGAAAAACAGGTTACAACATGTTAACAACGGATTAAACAGTTTTAACTGATAAAAGTGACAGAGGACACAAATATGGGAAGTGTGGAAGCCTCTACTGTATCAAATTGATATAGGAATAACAGAGAGTTGGCCATTCTAAGGTAAAAACCCAGCGCACACAGTGTTCATGTTTTGTTGTTTTTTCATCCAGACGGCTTCCCGCGCCCGCCCCCTGCAATGACACGGCGCCCCCCAGTTTGTGAACCTCTGGGTTAGCATGTGATTTACACACTAACCATTTAGCTTAACAAATGGATGCCTCGCATATTGTAGAGTACGCACACATATCAAACAGGCAGATACAGAAAAAAGCTGGAATAAGTAAGACCATATTCTCTTTGAACTGTAATGCCATAAAAACCAAATCAGCTTGACGAACTGAAAGGTCCCTGAAAACCAGCCAGGCAAGTGAGGGAGCAGGTAAAGTCATCGATCTGTGTAACGGCTTCATTCTGACATATGGGAAAGATCTGGAGATCTGTGGGAAACCTGCTGGCTCCAGAGCGCTTCAAAGCATATATACTATGCACTGCTGTTTCACTGGGTTTTCTCCGTTGTGTTTATTCAAGAGCCGGGCGTTTGAAACTTCAACTACACAACGGTGAAAGTTAAAGAGCTAAAGAGAAAGCAGGCAGTGACGTGAAGGAAAAAGGAAGATTTCACATGTGACACAATAGTGAAATCTGTTTGCTATTGTTCAAACAATAGCAAACAACCTGCTATTATTTGAACAATAGCAGATTGTTTTTTACATTTTTAAAAAACATTTTTTTTGAAAATGTATCTCCCCCCCCCCCTCCTTCCACCAGGGGTAACATTTAAGAAATCAACCAATTATGTCAAAAGAAACTTGTCACACAACATGATAGGTTAAAAGATCTTAAAAAAACAACACGTCCTGAAGAAATTCACTTTGGAGACCCAGCAGAAATGGAGAAGACTGAACAGGGATAATCCTTCCCTGGAGTGGCAAGGGTAATAAAATTACTTCAAGAGCAAATCAATGACTCATTTAGGTCACAAAAGAACAACACTGCAGACCTCAGTTGTTTTAGAAAAGGTCTCATTGTTGCTCAGGATCCAACAATGAGAACGATACAAAAAAACAAACAAAAATAAAAACCCACTGCTCTCTAAAAATAAAAGAGGCTTTAATTATATTTACCAAGTAATATGTTGAGGCTCTTTAGAAGATCTTAGGGAAATTATGCTTGACGGCAAAGATGAATCGGAAAAACTTCCTTCTGTAGCACCACCTATAGGACGGAGAACTAAACAACAACCATTGACCATCCACCTATCCGTTATTGTTTAATATTTTTTAAAACAAACCAAATTTCTAGTCATTAAGTTTCTCTTCTTTCTCTTGACACCATGATTATTTTTGCACTTTTACACTCCTAGTGCCAAAGTGATTAAAAAGACAAATATTTTCTCAGAGTTGTGGCAAGCACAAGGTTCTCTTCAAAACGTCAACAAATTCATATCTAACCTACTGAGGGATCCGTCATATTTTAAATAACGCTTTTTTTTATCTATATATGTTGCAGATTGTAAAAGATATAAGTGTTAATGTAAATTAAAAAGATCCCAGATTGTAAAAGTAAGACATTTAGTTTCTGAAAATCTGTAGCGTCTTAGTTTCAGCTTTATGATTTTCATTTCGATAAGAAAACCCAAAGATCAATTTTTCTTTCTTCATGCTGCAGCGTGCCAGAGCAAAAATCAAATATTACCGCTACCAACAAAATCTGCTCTACCTCCTGTGCAGCACAGCGGGTCATTTTTACCTTTTCCTTTCCTTGAACCAAAAGTACAGGACAGCATTTACTTTATCTGAGTGTTTCAAACAGTATGGATCTATCTAGTGGTAAATTACAGAACTAAACATAAAACTTAGTTGATTTCCCCCCTAAATGCATGCACTATAGCTCATTTAAATGTGAATAAAGTCCCTCACTCAGACTAAGAGAGGTCTTTCTTTGCATTTGGTTTAATCATCAGATGAATGCACACATTTAGAGCGAGCAGCTTGGTGAATTCCCCCAATTCTTTCTTCTCTAGTGTATTTAATTTTGCTTCATGCATCACAAAATGATTTAAAATCAACATGCAGATTTATCTTCTCTATTTTTTCCTCCCACTTTTTCTGACGGCAGCTAAAACAATAAAAAGATTTTTTAATAAATACCGTCAAACTCAACTGGTTTATTCATCAAACAAACACAGAAGAGCAAAAGAAGTGAGGACACAAAAGGAGAGGAGGAGAGCTCCGTCTGCTTGTGAGCCAAGTGTGCACACATGTAAGCAATTAGGCGAGTACTGCCGAGGAGTCTGGGCTGCGGCATAATTAGGGAACTGAATCACTAAACACGGCAGGGACATCCTCACATGGTAAAATTCAGGCAGAAAAAAGAAAAAAAAAAAAAAAAACAACAACACAAAACTGAAAACAACCAGCTGCCAAAGTGGAATAGCTTAAATCTGAACACAAGATGGATAATTCAGAAGCAGCCTCTCATTGCCTGTAGTTCAGTGTCACAGGGGCCTTTAATCACAGCAACTGAGCGCAGGCAACAACACGCGGAGGGAGAGGGGGGTAGAGAGAGAGAGAAAGAGAGAGCGAGGCAGAGAGAGAGAGATAGAGAGACAGACAGAGAACTCCAGACTGAAACCTGCCAGCTCAACCCTGTCAGACTTCCTCCGGTTTCCACGGATCGGACTCCGTCTCGGCCCCTGGATTCAGAGCAGGAGGAAATTGGGAAAGATGCGGGGGCCGAAAAGTGAGATCGCAGACACACACACACACACACGGAGAGAAGAAGCAAAAAGAAGCAGCACCTCTTTTCCAACTGTCATTATTACACAATCTGAACCAGCAGAGACAGAGGAGATGACAAACTGCAGGCAGGGTCTGGTCTGAGGCTCCGTCTGGCTGGGAAAGCATCTGTGTAAGACCGGGAGCTCTCATCTACGCTGATGAACACCAGGAAGAGCCGAGGCATCATGTTTCATACTGAGGCTCACATTCTGCCGTGGGAACGGGAATGGGGGTCCCACGAATGAGCACTCTGATGCACGACGAGTGGAAAAGAATCCACACCACTCATAATAACAGAAATAATAGACATCAGGTAACGCTGCTGCAATAATAAGTGTAATAACTGCGCTGCAAGCTGTCAGTCAGCTGCGTGTGAGGATTTGGTTTCTTTGAGGTCTTTCCAGTACAAGCAGCCATGGCATGGCTTCAAGACGATCACACTCCATTACGCTTTACTCTTGTTAAATCTATTCTGAGTCAAACATTTCCAACCAGCTGAGTAAGAATGTTTTCTGAGTGAGAAAAACTGTCTTATTTTTGTAAAAAAATTATTATTCAATCAGATTCTCATACAGTCCGTTATCTAGATACATCCTCTATAACAACCAATGACATTCGTTTAGTTTGAAAAGTGTTAAATTTTTTCAGTCAGCAATATAGAGTTACAACTTAACGAGCAGAAATCTTCTCATCTCCTGTTGCTTTGTTTTTCTTATTAATGTGAACAAAGCATATACCAACTAAGAACAGCATGGGAGAAAAAGAAGAAAAACAAATAAGTAATAATTAAAACAACACGTGTGTCCGTGTGTGTGTGTGTGTGTGTGTGTGTTATTTAGAACATGGGAGAGAAAAACAAAACAGGACGCACACAAATAAGCGCAAAAAAGCACCAGTAGAGCTTCCCGTAGAAATTATAAACATCTAAACCTTTTCTCCCATAAGCTAATAAAATTATATTTCTTAAAACAAATGGAAAATTTAATATAATTTATTAATTTAATTGCTCCCAATGCTTTGTAAGTGCTTTCTACAGACTAAGGTATATTTATTTTAAAGGATAAAAGAGTAGCAGCTCCTAAAAGCTCAAATAAATTCTTAAAATAAAGTACATGGATTAAAAAATTCATATCATATTGTTTCATTGTGCCATTTTTCATTATGTCATTTCCATCTATATAGATTATATGTAAAAAAAAAAGTAAAGCTAAGGCCATCCATCCTTATTGCCTTCTGTTTATGCGAGATCAGGTTGTCGGGGTAACCGGTTTCCCTCAGACACTTCCTGGTCAGAAATGACTTGGAATCTCACCTCAGCCAATTCCCAGGAGCAGCATCTTAACTCTGCAGAACTGCCTTAATTATCCATGTCTTACATTCAACAAGACGTTGCAAACATTCCTCTGAATTGTTGACTCAAAACGTGACGGCATCCAGCAGATGCTGCAGATTCTCTGTGAATTTGCTGTTCCACCACATCACAAAGCATTCTCCACTGGACTGAGATCTGGGGACGACACGGGTCATTGGGTTATCATGGCAAGAAGCCAGTTTGAGACTATTTGAGATGCATTATCCTACTGGGAGTAGTGGTTAAGTGGTTTCTTCTTTGCCAAAAATATATCCTCC